CTATCTATCTATCTATCTATCTATCTATCTATCTATCTATCTATCTATCTATCTATCTATCTATCTATCTATCTATCTATCTATCTATCTAATTTTAGTTTTAAGTTGTCAGACTGCTGCAATACAATCATCCCTGTATTATAATTCTACCCACTTGGTGGCACTGTACTCCACTGTATTAGAAGTTCAGGACCCCACAAAATTCTTATGGAAAATCTAGCAGCTGCAGGGTCCGTTTGTGTGAGTTTTGATCATAGAGCGTTACTATGAGAAATTTAGAAAGGACGTCATGTTCTGGTCAGATATATTCCTCTTGATATGTGACTGCTGATGTTGGTTTTGTCTTTTTCCATTACCAGTCCCATGTGACACTTGTTGAACCCCAAAGTGTTCAAAGCACAAGAAGGAGACCACTTTAGAAAGACCAGAATGATTCAGCCGTTCGCCCACCCTCTGTGTTTTCCCTCACACTCACTCTGAAGCTTCATGACAACCAGGTCATTCCTTGGTCTCTGCATCATAACATAAGAACATATAAGAAGTTGTCCCAGATGAAACATAATTCACTTGTGTGGTTGTTTGGACAGTTCAAATGAGGAGTATAACCTGTTTGTTGTTAAAGTGTTTGTATTGAATTATCATTACAAATTAAATTCTACTCTATGCTCACATACAATTACTTTTAAAATACATGAAAAAGGATATTCAAATTACTGAACCCCAGTAAATAGATAGAAAATCATTGTGTAGTTTAACTTGACAAATAAACAATGAGGTAACAGGGAAAACATTTTCTCAGATGTTGTATTTAAGGCACAAGTAGTGCAGAGCATTTGAGGAAACTGATGATGTCAGTGGCCTAATAAGGAGCTGCAACTACCAAACTACCTGCATATGTGTGTTAATTATGGGATGCTGCATTTGATTCATGACCCTAAGCCATGTAGGCAAAAACTGGAGGAGCAGCACAAGTGCAGCTGTCCAAGTCTGCTTTCTGTTTGTGTGACGAGGCAGCTCTGTGTCAGTCTGATCTGTTTACCGCACTCTAAAAATACCACTCTGTTACATTTCCATAGACGCGGCCCTGTCGTTTCATTTGTTTATATGGTGTCTTCAGATGTTGGCAACCCTGGATGTCCACATGGAAAGGAGCAGCCTCAGGATGCAAAAGACTTTCAGCTGTGTTAAACAGACTGGAGGTGGCTGTAAAACATGCACAATGTAGAAGTAGTCCCGCTGAGAATCATCAGATTGTCTAAAAAAGTGCCGTCTAAATAGAAAAATCATTTTAGTCTCTAATCTACTTTAAAGGACTTTTAGATTATGACCCGTACACCTCATATCACCAGTGTGCAAATGTCTATGATTCAATGGCCAGTCTGTGTGATTTTAAGCTTTGTGTATTACTTTGATTGTGGCAGTGACAAAAATCAGTGCAGTAACAGTTCTGTGTCTTCATACCTCTTATCTATCAACATCTTAATATCGGAAAGTAACTACGTACATCTATTCAAGTGCTGTATATAAACACACTTTTGAAGTACTTTCCCTTTACTTGAATTTTTCCATGTTATGCTTTAACAGCACTGCATCTAAGTCACTGAATAATGAAGCATTTTTATATAACTGCATTGCTCTGCTACTTTACTAAAGAAATGTCATACTTCTGCCACCACTTCAACACTCCGACTCTAATCCTAACTGCATACCTAAACAGAAACCATTGAAACAATACAAAAATTTAGACTTAAAACATTCTAAAAAAATTAAAATAATCCTCTGTCTGCCATACATTTTCTTAAAAAACAGACAGACTGTCTGTATCAATATGTTTCTCTACCTAAGAAATGAGATAAAAAAACAAGTATCTTAGAGGTAGGGATTAGCTGCATGCACTGTACCTATATGTTACTGAATATTTACTAAAATGTCATTGACTTTAGAGAATAAATCCAAAGCCCAAATTGGTGTTGGAAGAAGTACTTAGATCCTTTAATTAAGAGTAGATATACACCCAATGATAATTAAAAGTAGCAATGCACCAATATGAAACACTTGCCAGTCAGTAAAAGCCCTGTCTTCAAGCCTTAACTTAAGTCATGTATTAAAAGCAGCAGATATCTGAATGATCACAATTATGGAGCAGATGCTTCCTGACGGTGTTTATTATAGATTTTTTATATTAATAATTTAAATTACTGATGCATGAACATATAAGTAGCATTTTAATTCAAGTAAGAGAAGTTTAACTGCTGTATTTGGAGTACAAGAAAATACTCTGTTAAAGCACTGACTATTTATCTCCACTGCCGTCCATGCAGGAAATGTGTAAAGGGTCGCAATCAAACAGCAATATTTCATTAGAAACGTGTTTCTGCTACAGGCTATGAAGGCTCATTGTCATCTCCTTTAAATATAAATGGACTTTTTCCACATTACAGGTATGAATGTGAATGGAAAGACAGACGTCTTAAAGAATGTAGCCTAAAATATATATCAGCTTTATTGAAACAGTTAACAAGGCAAAAAAAAAATTGGCAAAGGATTATACAATAAGTGCAAGGTTTGTTGCAGTTCATGAAAGCCTAAAGCGTCGTGTGTGTAGTTACTCTAATAAGATAAAACATAGTTACATGGAGTATAATTTGTTTGCACGTGTTACAAGAGCAAACCCATTAAAAATCGTGTTTCTGAAACTTCTTTGAAGAAGAAAGCTTGTCAGGGTTCATATTGGCAAAGTGGTTTTTCTAAAGGCCTCTGGGGTTTCTTCATTCATTTCCTTTAATGCATAGTTTTCTCAAGTTCAAAAAAAAAAAAAAAAGCTACTTTGGCTGCTTGTAGGAGGCAAACATGTGACACCACGATACATCCTATAATGGATCCTCCAAAAATAAAAAAAGACAAAAAGTCCACTTGTTTGTTCAAATGTGACGGAGCTGCAGTTTCACTGTGACCGTCTTGTGTTTGAAGTCCGCAGTGACAGAGCTCACATCACGCACGGTTTGATGTCCTGACACACGCTCTGGGGATGGTGGTGGTGGTGGTGGTGATAGTAGGATCCACCGGCCGAGGGGTGGAAGGACGAGATGCCGTTAAAGTTCAACACAAAATCTTTCCTGTCGCACACCGAGGAGTGGCTCTGATAGCGTGGAATCCCCACTGTGGAAACAAACAGGGGATAAAGTGAATATATGTGCATGAAGGGATGAAGATATTTATAGTCATTGTGCGTAAATGGAGGTTTCCATTAAAATCTGCTGCAAACAAACTATGTGGGACGTAAATAAGGTTTGTTTGACCAGAAAAAAAAAGTTTACATTTCATATATAATGAAAATAAAATATTGAAAACCCTAAGTTGCTTCTTAGACCGCTAAACATTTAGTCACTTAGGTTTATGTTTTAAATTTTGACCAGTAAATATGAAATATAAGGTTATTGCACACAAGTGGTCCTGGCTATCTCCTAAATGGCTTTAAAATCAACGACATTCAAAGTTGAGCATAACTGAGTTCTTGTTTTATTAAGATACAAGTTATTTTAAAGATATGGTCACTTTTTATTAAACATGTTAAAAGAAGAAAATACTGCTTCTTTATTTTTCTAATAATATTTGCCGCCTATACGCCTTCTGACACCGCACAGCGCAGTGACAGCCCTATTGTTAGAATGGTTGAAGGTATGTCTCCTTCTGTGAGCTGTTTCTAAAAATCTATTTAATTGTGTTATTTAGGTATTTTTATTTCATTTTACAGGTTTACGCCGAGCATCAATCCTTTGTTAGTGTCATTTTCTCTTTAAAATCCAAGCCTTGCTGGAGGATATAATTCAGATTCAGTGATCGTCATTTGTGTCTGTAAGTGAGCCTCTATTTCCAGAAACAGAAAAATAAATGGGGAGGCTGCGGCTTCGTCAAGGTCATAAGGACTCCAGATGTGACTGTGTTTTTCAGGGGAAGACAGCAGGCTTTATCCTCCGGGCCACAGCTCGCTGCCCTGCGCCCGTTTTCACAGACAACACAGCAGCCTGTGTGACTGACAGTACTGTTACCGTGCCTGTTGTGGACTCTCCAACACATTTATCCTGGGTACAGGCTCAATTAAGACGCTGCGTAAAGTTTAACAAGGCCTTCCGTCTCTTGTGGATACGCCGTGGTTGAAATCCACCGCCGGTGTGGTCCGACCTGCACAGTCTTTGTTTAGTTAACCTTTGGGACCCTTTCGGGCTCCAGCATGGGTTACTCGCCTCGCTGAAATCCCCAGACTTTAGTAAAGCCTCGCTGTGTTCTGTTAAAGTAAATGAGGGTGAACTGGGGAGGTGAATTAAGAGCGTAAAAAAAACTGTTTTCCTTATCTATTCATTAGGCAAAAATATCCCGCAACGTATGATACAGATGTGAATTAGGAAACCGGGATTTAAGCAGGAATAAAAAATACACTCTTTTTTTTTTTTTTTTTTTTTACAATTCACTTTAGTTATTAGACAAAAAAAAATAGTTTGAAAATTACTATTTTACTGAACTGCGTGATCCCGAGTGGGCTTTAAAATTCAGCAAATGTTCCATGCAAGTTTGATATTCAACTAATCGAAATAAACAGTATGTAACAGTGAATAAAAAGTTATTTTGCATCTCATAAATGTTAATGTTAAACCGTTGGACTGACATAATGGTTAAACTACTGTAAATTGTATTTTTAAAAGCAGTCGTACTAACAATCCAAATGTATGGCGTTATTTACGTTGCACGAATATATAAACTCCCCTCTGTAATATTTTACCCTTTCAACAAGTGTGTCTACGCTAATTTTGAAATATTAGAGATATTTGTGCAGTATCTAATTTTATCATTTAATTTTTACGACTTAAAAACATTTTTAAACCGTCACGCAGGCCTCTGCTGCAGCTCGAAATACCAGCTATGAATATTACAGTTCAGGCCTGCTTGTCTTGCAGATAAAGCTGAGATGCTGTGTGAATTATTTTCATATGCTTCTGTTAATTTAATTTTAGAAAAACTTCCATAGCTATTAGATCGGGTTAATCATCCGCACTATGAGCCGTTTGTTAGTTTGTGGTACCTGATATGTCAGTGGAGTGGCTGTCCCTGCTGTTCTGGTGAAGATAACTCTGCTCCAGGGAGTAAGGAGACATGCCGGAGTGTAAACCAGAGGATGCTGGGCTGCTGGAGGCGAGAGGCTGCTGTTTGATGTAGGGAGACCCGCCGGAGGACGCCCAGTGTGCGGATGTACTGGCGTACGGAGAATGGCCGTCCAGTGCGCTGGCCATCGCTGGAGAGGACGGTACCGGACTGCTGCTGCTGTCCGGCCCGTACTCCCCGTTCGGAGGCACAGGACAGCTTGCCATGTACGTGGATCCGGGGCTCGGGGACATGTGAGGTACATGGTGGCCGCCGCTCAGCCCGTCGTACCCCCCGGCCATTGAATTGCTCATCATGTCCAAGTTATAGCTGTTACTGTGACAGGCGAGGGTGGCGGACGGAGCCTGGAAGTCAAAGCTTTGTGGAAGAATTGATGTGCCGAAGCCTATGCCATTCATCATCCGATACATGGGCTTCAGAGCTTGACATTTTCTTCTAAAACCTCTGGGTCTGCGACGAAACGAACCTTCCTCGAACATGAACTCACTGCCAGGATCGATGGTCCAGTAGTGGCCTTTCCCCGGCCTGCCCAGCCCTTTGGGCAGCTTGATGAAGCATTCGTTTAGTGAAAGATTATGTCTGACTGAGTTCTTCCAGCCCTGATATGAACCCCTGAAGAAAGGGAAGCGAGCCTGGAGGAACTGGTAGATCTCACTGAGTGTCAGCCGTTTGGTGGGGGAGCTCTGTATTGCCATAACGATGAGAGCGATGTAGGAATACGGGGGCTTCTCCGGCCGCCTTAAACCAGAGCTCGTCTTCTTTCCTTTGCCGGCAGTGGACGAACTTTCTGTGGCGGCTTGTGGGCTCAGCATGGCGGGATGCAGGACGCTGGACGCCGGGCTGGATCTCAGAGGAGGCGGAGGGTCCAGCTGCTGCTGAGGGGTCTCGGTCGTCATGTCAGCACTGACGTACAACTGGCGTAGAGAAAAGAGAGGGAGGGAGAAAAGGCGAGCTGTGAGGTGTTTCAGAAGAGGAATATGTCGGGTCCCAGCGATCAGTGTCCTTGCAAGTGAACGTTACACCGCCAGTGGTCCCCAGAATCCTCGCGCAAAATGGAGTGAAATCTGTCTCCAGTTACGCACGACTCTCCCGTTACGCACGGTGCTCCTTTGACGCATGCAGAACGCACGGCCGGTACGCACTGACAGAGAGAGGAAGAGGAAGAGAGTGGGGGGAGCTGGTTATCCACTGGAGACTAAGTGTCCGGGTCTGAAGCTCGACACAAGGGCTCCACTGGGTGTCACAGCGGTGCTAAGTGGTGCTGTATGACGCTCCGGGTGGCCATCGACCGCCTTAATAATCCCTCAAGTAGAGGAAACACGAAAACCCTTCGAGATATTGCGCGCAAAAGTCCAGCCAAACAAAGCCCGACCACCTATCATTTCATAAATCTTTCTTCCCTCTGCGAGATCCCCCCCCCCTCCACCCTTTCTCCTCATCCGCACTCTGCGCCTGCAAATCTCCCTGAAATCAGTGACGAATGGAGCCACCCCCCACCCACCCTCATTCCAAATCTGGCCCAAGTCCACTTACCGTTCTCAGCAGCGTTAAAGCCCCACATTCTCTCCTCGTCTTCTTTCTTCCCTCCCACCACCTCACTCCAAGTTCGGACTACACGCAATTAAGCCATCTATCAAACCTCCCCCAGACATCCCAATCAACAGCGCCACACGCCAGCCACACAAGTTAAAAGACGAACCATCCCTCCCCCCCACCGTCCTCCATATATGAAGCTGTGATTTCAGCCTGACGTGCCATAGCACATACATTTTCTTGACGCGAATAAACCACCACAATATGTGCAGAAGGTCCAACTTGCATTCGATATCACGGTGCCCAAAACATTCACACGGGCCTCCATGATGTCCGCGGCAGATAATACCCAAACACATCAATGTGAAACAATAGAAAAACGCACCATCTTGTATTATTTGTATTATTTTGCTCATAATTTCCTCCCAAACTGGTCCAGAGGATAACAAAAACAAACTGTCGCGGTGCCGGGCTGGGGCGAGGAGTGTGAGAGATGGAGAGGTGGTGGTCTTTACCGTGCGTGTGTAAGCGGGGGGTTGCTCTGAGTAAATGACTTTGACATGAGTGGAAGCAGGCTTTTTCCATCAAGCCCGGCCCTGGATACCACACACAGCGCGCCAGTGTCAGCTTACCGCCCCGGGCCAGAGCCGGTCCCATGGGCCCCACGTTCATTAGAGAGAGAAAAGCGAAATTAGGCGAGCGGGCGTCGACAGTTTCCTCCCCTATGGAGACATCACACACAGATTTGTCCAACATGATGGAGTTATATATCCCATAAAGGTAATATCAACATCCGCGCTGCGACGGAGCGGAGATTATTGGGCTTTGAAGAACTAAAAAAGCATCCAGTTTTCTGTCTGTCGTTAAACGGAGATCTTTAAGGTTGTGTTGTGCGTGTTAGTAGCGATTTCATTTGGTTATTTATTTATTTTTTGTAGTTATTATGCATAGGTAATATTGCATTGTAAATTACGGCTGATTTCATTCTTTCCATAGGCCCTGTACAAAGCGTGTTTGTGAAAACAAAATAAACCACAACACAATCTGTTAAAACTTTGCAATATATATATTTAATTTTTGTACATTTTATTTCACAAACTCCAATGTGTGTCTGTGCACGTGCTTGGGACGAGGCCTTTTTAAGTTTAGATATAGCCAGGAGGATTTTCCAAACAATAACCAGCAACACTAACCTTTGCACTTTGCACAACAAAGGATGTGCGGATAAAATCATTTTCCACTATGACACACACACAGCAGTTCGGTGGACCTTTACGGCCCCAGAAATTTCCTGCGACATCAAAACTTATGACCCCCGCCGAGATCAGGATGCCTTGGCCTGCAGAGGGAATCTTTGTTCTGGGAGCGCTTTGAAGGGGGCGATCCGACTGCTTTTACGCACTGAGCTTATACGAGCTTCTAATTTAGTCTTTTGGAAATATCAAGCGAAAAGCTATTCAGAGTTGTTTTTGATTCAAAGGTTTGTCTTCGCAGTTCGGTCACGGAGGCCCATATGAGCCCACTGCCGACACTACAAGGCCTTCAGCTTGTTTTCATGTTTAGGATAAGGTATAATGTTTACCCCCAGAAAATATGAGGTGGCTTTTGAAAAAATGTTTATCCGCCTGCCTGACCTCACGTAACCTCTAGGCCTTGTTGAAATGAAACGATTTTTTTGGTATTATATTTTCTAAATATGAGATTAGAAATAGATAAACGCCTTTAATTTGGTTTATGTCAAAAAAATATTTAACTACTAATGTGTCTCCAAATAACATGCAACTACAGTGTCTAAATGTGTAATAATTACCTCTGTCTTAATTGTTCCGTGTTTTTATTGTCTTTATGTTTAAAATAGGCCTGGAATAAACAATATTCATCCAGTGAAACAACAACAAACACTACATTCAGGTCCTTTTAACGGTAATCTAATATTCTTTTGGCTGCTCGGCTCCTCTCCTTGGCCGCTCCGCCTGTGTTTCCTGTGGCGGGGCCTGGAGCTTTGGAGCTGCCTCTCCGGGACTCTGGGAGGTCAGGCGCGGTTCAGTTTGCCGGAGTGACAGACTGTTTGGACTTCCTAACATTGTGCCTGCCTTAAAGTTTGGTCTCATAACACTGTGGGTCTTAGTCGGCTTCGGAATAGGCCTGAGTTCTAGCTCAGGCATGTAGGCTGGAGGACGCGCAGGCTGAAATGGAAACGTAGAGAAAGTTTGCACACTTGAAACTTGCGAGTCATGACAGCAAGGATGTTGACAATGTAGCAATACAGAGACTGTTGGAGCCAAAGGACAGACCCACACAGGTGTGCTGTTCCGGAGTTTCACCTGCAGGTTGCAGCATTGTCCCTGAAAACAGAAGCCAGTCTCACCTGTTACCTGTCTGACTGCTCTGTGCGCTCTGCAAACACACACCTGCCCGGCCTAGCGCTGCTTTAAATACATACATTATGTGCATGTGGGCGACCAGCATGAGAGAGCCAGTTAGGTATGGCCAACTCAGCATATGCAGCATATGGACATAAACATACAAATATCATTGAACTTAAAGGTTAAAGATGATTTGCAACCGTGTGTTCCCTTAGATAGATATATTGACAAAATTACCTGTGATATTAAATTCTGCAGTCTTCGTTTCTACTTTACAGTCAAAATAACCAAAACCCAAATTTCCAAATAATTCAGCTCTCGTTAATGATTCAAAAATATTTGAAGTACAAATAATCCGTCCCCCCCCCCCCACACACTTTTACATTATAGTTTTCCTTTAAATTGTACAACAACAAAAAAAAACATCGGCATCAGTGTTTTTTCCATCAGTGACTTTAATGTTTTTGCATTTTTCAAAAGGCTTTGGTGCTGAATTTATATATATTCTCTTAGAACTGCATGAAATAAACATCAGGCTGTTGGCATAATTTAGAATTTTGAGGAGAACTCCCAAACTGAAAGTGTTTATTATTTACTTGATGTCATACCAAACATGTTCAACTAAATACTAAATTAGAGGGAGATTTGGAACAAAATGAATATGATACCTAGTTCACCGGAGACCATTAAGTTTAAAATAATAATAATAATGGTAATAATAATAATTACCAGTTGACTTACAGTTTAATTTGACATACATTTACATCTCATTATGGGTCGGGATCAAAAAGTGGTTTCACGTCGATGCATTGTACTCAGACGATTTAATTCCGGACAATACTGGATGTTTCGTGGAACCAGAGTATCGTCAGTGGACACACGGCTGCTGAGTCTGGGGTCCGTTTCAGGACCGCGGAGAGCAACTCCAGCCTCCTCCGGACACGAGCAGTAAACAGCCTGCAGGACTGGGTGCGCACATTTCTCAGGATAATATGGTGTATGTGTATAAATGTAACATCTGGCCAACATGAATAACAAAACTGTCTGAAAAAAGGCTGACTTGGACTGTACATATTTCACACCGCATATTTATCCTCGTTTTGTGAAGTTTATTAACAGTTTTTAATCATGCACTGATCATGACATAACACCAACTGTACCACCAAATCATTTAAATTAATCAACACTGTGTAGCACATTTACGCACGATGCAATAATAACAACAATGCAAAAATAATAATTGGTGTTAATTTCTGTTCATTCTTAATGAATTTTTGTGGACGGGAGTTATTACAATTGATTTCAGCCTGTGGCAGATTTTATTTGTAGAGCTGTTTGTTTGAAATGTAATGTGAGAGCTTATGTTCAAACACTTCGCCACTACAGAGGCATTTCTGATGTCGTTTGACCTCCATGTGGACTGACAGCAACACAACACGATAATTCAATGTACTGTGTTTAATATTTATTCTTTGACCAGTTATTTTAATTTGTCCGATGCTGCCCTGATTATTTTTTTTACACTTTAATAAGTTACTCCTGACTAATATTCATAAAACAATTCAGTGGGCCACTGAAGGCAGCGGTCTGAAAGGAGCCTGGAAGCAGTAAACTGGACATAAAGTTTAATTCTAGGCTATTATTTTGAGACAAACAATTCCTTCTCTTTTTTTGCCTTTACAATTGAGTCTACCATAGACACACACTGCGGGTCTGCTGTTGAGCAGGTGTAAGGCCCACCCGCTCGCTCCACCAGCTGCTTCTGATCTAACAACGCCCTTTCCCTTTCATGTCTGCAATGAACAACTCGGTGAACATCATGCTTCCATTGTTTCAAGTTTTTTTTATTCATAAAAATAACAGGCATGCATCAATCATTCTCAGGAAAACGGGTATTTTTCCATGCGTTTCTAGTGCAGCCACGTGATTCTTAACGCAGCTCAGTCAGTATTTTTTTTTAAACATACATATATACACAACAATATTTATACAGCAGGTCATACAAAACATGAAAATATAAATAGACTGACAGGTTTTTGTTTTAACATGGCACTCGGTTGCCGTCGTACAGTAGAAATGACCAATGAACCATGGATAGATGATTACAAACACTCTCTCAACAGCACGCACGCACACACACACACACACACACACACACTCTCTCTCTCTCTCTCTCTCTCTCTCTCACACACACACACACACACACACAGTGGAATGTC